TTTGTAAGTATGTATGGCCAGGATAAAAGCCCTTCATAGAGTAAGGGGATTTCAAAAATGGCTGTTACCCTGCAATAGCAATTCCCATTTGTAAACATGTTTTACATTATTCAAGATGATGAAGAAATGGTGCTTGTACAAGGTTTATGAAAAATTGATTCTATTTCTTATTTTACCTACCTTTTCCTTCAGTAAAGCAAAGATTTCCTTATAGATTCTGAATTCAGGATTTCTGATATTGAATTAAACAATTGTGCATACATGAAATATGTAAAAATAGATATTCTTCTTAAAATGAATTGACATGATTGATATGATTTGACAGAATTAGAGCTGTACAACTAAAAGAAATCAATATTTTTATATTTGAAGATGAGCACTACAGGAACATATCCTATCTAACAAAAGAAATTTATGCTATGTAACCTAAAATGAATTTTCGTATGATGAAGATAAAGAATGATTTTTTCATAAATTCAGCAATCTCACATTTCCAATCATGGCTAGGAAAGAAAAAACCCCCCCGATATTTTATATTGTCCTACACTGTGGTGCTTTTCAAAGATAGTTTGGAAGCAGTTTTAAGCGACAATTTTTTGAAGAATATTAATGTTCTCTTATTTAAAATATCTCTATGGCATTCTATTTTATTCCTGTTTTAAATAAAATATATCTATACTAATTGAACTGTATGGCAGGGAAGTTATGCGATTCAGCAACATAATGTCTATATGAGTGGATGCATGTGCATATCTATTTGTAAATATAAAATCATAAAATAGAACTGCTGTGAATTTGAAATATCTCACATACATCCATCCAGTAAAGATTAAAGCTCACCTTAAAACATTAATTAGAAACACTGATATATTTGAAGCCTCTACCTTCATATTTGCAAGGCCTTAGCAAGAGTAATGAGGCTAAATGAAAGTGGACAATAATCTTCCTTCCTTCCTTCCCTTGTAAAATCAGAAAATTCTGTGTGCTTCACACTATTTCAGTCTTTACTTCTTTGTCTAGAACGTTGTACTGTGTGTTACTAGGTTAGATATTAGAAAAAGGTTCTCCACTCAGAGGGTGTTTGGGCACTGCAACAGGCTCCCCAGGGAAGTGGGCACAGCATCAAGTCTGACAGAGTTCAAGAAGCATTTGGACAATGCTCTTGGGCATATGGTGTGACTCTTGGGGATGGTCCTGTGCAGGGCCAGAAGTTGGACTCAGTGATCCTTGTGGGTTCCTTCCAACTCAGTATATTCTCTGATTCTGTGAAGGGTCTAGGGAGTAAGTCATATCAGGAGAGGCTGAGGGAGCTGGGACTAGTCTAAAGAAGACAGGGAAGGCTCAGGGGAGACCTTAGCACTGTTTACAACTATCCAAAAGGAGATTGTAGCAAGGTAAGGGTCAGCTTCTTCTCCCAGGCAAGTACTGACAGGACGAGAGGATATAACCTTGAGCTATGCCAGGGGAGGTTTAGGTTGGATATGAGGAAGAATTTCTTCACTGAAAGGGTGGTTAAGCATTGGATTAGGCTGCCCAGAGTGGTGGTCAAGTCACCATCCCTGGAAATGTTCAAGAAACGACTGTATGTGGTACTTAGTGCCATGGTTTAGTTGACATGGTGGTGTTTAGTCAAAGGCTGGACTTGACAGTTTTGGAGGTCATTTCCAACCTTAAGGATTCTATCATTGATTCTATAACACATAAGTCTTCACAAAGACTAAACTACAGAAATGTAAATAGTCTACAACCATCATCATTATTACAGACAAATGGAGGATAAGTGAACTTGTTACATACTTAAGTCCAAACAGGTTTCTTCAAGGGAATACGAATTATCTCTACCTCCTGATGCAAAATCTCGCTTTTACAAATAAGTTTAAAAACAACAGTCATTAGTTAGCAAGAGCATATTCAGGTTTAGAAAGATGTCTGAATTGCTACATATACTGTATGTGGTGATAAAGATGATTTCTAAACACTCAGACATACCAATGCAAAAACCCCATTTCATCTTTTGCAATATAACCCATTGTAGCACTTTACCATAAATCCCAGTCCTGCCTTCCTCCAGGACTCCACTGACCTAAGCTGATAATATGTTGGGCAACTACTAGAGACACTGTAATTGATGTTTTTCAGGCAGGGAAGGAAACGATGAATAAATGAAGAAAATGTTGGTTCAATGGGAACAATATTTCACCTGTTTTTGCAATGTTAAAGGCAGAACATTTGACAGAAATTGCTTATTACTTGCTGTTATACCAGATAGATAGATAGACACACATGATTTCTGGGAGCTGGAGTTATATATGTGCATTAACTCTTTGTGCAGCCTATCTAATTATATTTATTGCCCATACATGATAAACAGCAAGCAACCATGTGATGTGACATCCACTGAAAGACTTAATATTTTATATCTTTGGCTTCCTTAAAATTGCAGCACAAAGAAATTGCAACAGAATGGTGAAGAAAGGAGGTTCTGAGCAAATTAAATAATACACGTTGGACTGTTTCACCCCTTCAATTAAGTTTAAAATAAAAATTAAACAGTGTCTTTTACTCAAAGTGCAGTTCTGCTTTTGACCATTTGCCCTTTACTGCCTGCCCTCATCACCTCTCAGGTGCATTTCTTCTTGCTGTCCTACTCAAGTTACTGCAATCATAACACTGAACATGTTTGCTAAAAGGTAATTTTAAGTGTCTTAACTGAGCTTCTCCACTGGGTTTTTAAAACTGAAATAGCTTGTAACATTTATTCTGAAGGCATCACCTCATCATTAAAATAAACAGAAACCCCAAATCTGTAAAAAAAGACTCCTAAATATCATCTCTGCAATCTTCACTTTGCTCCTTGAAAGAAATTATAGTTCTCGCTCACTAATCTTTCTCAAGATTCTTTTATACGTTCTACCAGTAACCAACATAAGGCTGAGTATTCTGATTTCAGTGACAAGACCAAAAAGCAATAGTAGGCAGCTATTTGATGTCAGAGGTTTAGTTAGGTATTTCTGTAGCAATAACTTTGGAAGTACAGATAGAGTACATAATTTTGTCAGATGGCATCACTTCAGCCTCTTTTTTTTTTTTTGAATCAGATAATCGCTTTATAGCATAAGAATCTGAAGGAAGGATGAAGGAAAAAGAGAACCATTATACTGCTGAGTATTTAATTTTATTTTTACGAGGTTAAAATATCAAGTACATGTTTATCTCAGGAACCTGAATTATTAAGTTTTAAATTAGATTCTAGGTGGGCATTTGAAACTACTTGAAAGTAACCTTTGACTGTATGCAGAAAACATGCATTAAAAAGTACATTCGTCTGATACTGAAATGAGGTTTTGTCTTCTACCAATAATAATCTTGCTCATAAGAAGTATAAAATAGAAACACAGATACAACAAGCTTAGATGGTTCTTTAGACAATACTAGTGGGTGTCCTGAAGGTGAAAGGCTTTGTAACTTGTCATAATAGTTTTCAGGAGAGCAATTAATTGCTACTTTATTTTTTAAAATCTATCGTAGATCTACATGTATAAGCACTGACAACTCGAAATAAAGATGTGCTAAAAAAGCAGTATGTAGTTTAAAACAGTAGAGAACATGCCCTTACCTACCTCTGAATTGAAAAGAAATTCATGTAGGAAAGGCATAAATACAGGTTGAGATAATAAACACATTTTAAAGTGTGTCTGATTATCTAAATTCAGCATTTATCTATACTTGCTGGAAGGTGCAACATCAGATAATTAAGGTTTTCTTTAGGAAGATAATTATGGTATTTTAAATAGTATTATGGAATAATTGACAAAACTATTTCCATTTTCATGGCTACTGTTACAGACTCATCTGAAATATATTAATCTAAACATAACTAAACATTTTCCTTAAGTAGTCTAATTTGTAACATTTTGTGGTTTTCTTTTAAAGAGAACTGTCATCATCAGAAAAATCATGTTGAAAATGTTATTGGGCAAATGATTGATATGAAATGTCTCACAGGTTATGTAAAGAGCTCATAGAATAAATGCTTTTATAAACACATTCATTAGTAAAAATCTCCTTCATCACCCACAGACCAGACAGCAATCTGTGCTCCCCCTCTCCCTCCCCAAAATAAAAAATAATAAAAAAAAATGTGGCAGACACTAAAGATCTCCAGGTGACAGTAAAACAGTTTCCTTATTTTCCTTGCATCATGAGAATAGCTGCATCATGCAGCTTCCTTTTCTAGCCCCTCAGTTTCTTTAAACTTTGTAAAGAAACTTTTTCACTCTTTCTATTGTATATTAGTAGCAAGACCTCTTTTATAGATATGCAGATAGAGAGGAGCACTGTGAAGAGCTGGAAACAATATCTCAGTGTTAACCATATCAGAGATGCAGAAAGAGGCTGAACACCTGTTGCAGAAATCAGGAAGCAGAATCTAGTCCAATTTATGGTGATAAAGCTTAATGAATTAGAAGGTTAAATACTTTTGGAAGACATCTGTCACCCAGCCTCTATTATCAGATTAAGCCAGATGTGATTCTAGAGGATATATATCTGCAAAAATGCTAAAATTTCACCTTCTGTTTTCCCTGATGCAACTACTTTACATCAAATAGCATTTTTTTTTAACAGGAAAAAAATAATTAAATTAACCCATTTAATGAAATCCATATAAAATGAAATCTAAATGTAAAAAAGGAACTTTTTACTCTAGGATTGTGATTGCAAGCGTGAAACCAGAATCAGAACACATGACTTATTCATCCAGTCCTACCCACCTTATAAAGTTTAGATTGCGTTATAAATAACTAAATCTATTAAAAAAAGTTAAAATGTTCAAGATATTCAATAGTAATTTCTACTTAAGCATCAATCATTTCAGGGAAGGGAATGCCAGGAGGAGAAACACAATCAGAAAAAAAGTTTTCTTTGACACAAAAGTCTCACTATTAAGAGCCTTGTTTCATATTTGGTTAATTAAAATGCAATATATTAAAATACAGTACCTTATAACACATGCATAGAGCCCGCTGTCTTGTACCACTGTTGGTCGGAACCAAATGGAGTCTTCTTCTTTGCTCATTCTGGTTCCATCAAAAGCTATAGGTTCCTCAAAATCTCCAGGTCCAGAGCTTTTGTACCACATCAAGCTAAGTCCAGCACTTTGGGCTAGGGAGTAATTAGCTCTTATATATCCATAAAAGAGTGCACATTTTATACGAACAGGTTCTCCCACTAGAACTTGATATTTCTTGTAATCCACAGACCAGTCAGTGCAACCATCAGCTGAAAGAGAAGAGAAAACAACAAGCGGTTGTCAGAGGCTTTGGAGAGCACTGTTCACACAGAACCTTTATTGTGGGAAAGCATTGTATTTGAGAAAAGGCCCTTTGAGTGACTAGCAGGACTTTTCTGATCTCTGAAAAAGTAACTGCATTTTCACAGTATTAATGTCATGTACTTATCTATACTGGACAGTTATTAGGACATTTATTGCTAAGTGTTGATAACTTCTGAGAAAATTGAGCAATTGCTATTTTATCTTTTGTGGAACTCCAGCATGACCAGTTTTACTGGAGTGAAATTAGTGAAACACAGAGGCCATGTGATACACAGGGAGTCCCAATCTGGATTACATCAATCAAATATCTTCAGGGTAACCATGCAAATTAAGTCTCAGAAGATATTAGGGCATAGAACTGTGGTCTAAATCAAAAAGTGTGGAAGTTTGAGGTAGATTTGAAGGAGAAGTAGAAACTGCCTTTACACTAGGAGCAAATGTGCAAAAAGATACTGTCAGGAAAACTACTGTCAGTAATCTTAATGGATTATTCAAGAAGACGATAAGCAGATCTCACCTGGAATTTCTGACTTTCCAGAAGAACATTACAAATTAATGTAAATAATATTTTTTTCTCCTGAATAACATCAGTTCCTACTGATACTGTCCCACAATAACTGTTCATCAGAAAGCAATACTAGATTTGCTAGACTTTCTGAACTCCAGCAATAAAACTAAACCCCAAAACCAAAAACACGACAACCTCGCTTCCTCTTCCTCTTTATTTTTAGTTAAGAATACCAAAGCAACAAAAGGAGAAGGGATGTTTTATACAATAAAATCTTATGATTTTTTTCTTAAGGAATTTCAACCATGGAAATTCACCATTATATTAATTCACTTAAAAACTCAGCATCCAGTCTCAGCTAGTTAGTTAGAGCCCAATCCAGTCAGCAGAAAGCAATCATTATAACCAAAGTGCAACTTATTTCATCCTAAAGTTAGTATCTATTTCTCATATAAATATTTGGTCATTGAATTTGACACTTTATTAACTTTAAAAGACCTTAGATAGATAACTAGCTCAGAAAATCAACTTTTGCAAAGCTGAAGTGTCATCCTAGAGTTGGTTGAATACTGACTTTAACAGAGAATTCAAACTACTGTGCAAGATAAAGCAGTATTAGCACTTTAAACCTAGACAATGTATTGGTCTGTTACCAATACAGAGAATAACATCCCAGACAGTGATTTCTGAGATATATATTTGGATAATCCCACAGTACTTATTATGCATGCAAAATAATAAAGACTCAGACATCTTCATACAGTGTTGTGTAAGCAATAACGTAAGAGAACACTGAAAGATGGAGGGAAAAAAATAATGAAAACTTTAGAATGAATTTGCATTGTAAACAGAATTCACATAAAGAAATATTTCATATATCTTTAAAGTGTCTCCTCCTGCATTTGTTTTTAAAACCAGGAAGGGAATATAATATGTCCCTGTTCCAATTTTCCTACCCAACAGTTTCTAAAAATTAGTAACAATTATGAGACCCTAACAAGACTTAGTTGTACTCTTGTAGAAATTGAAGTGAATGAAAGCTACACTATTAGTTTTCCCATAGGACTCTAAGAAACTAACTTCCATTTATTTCAGAATTCAATTACATCTTTGATCATTTCATTTTTTACCTTTCTGAAAGTGCATTCCCTTTCTGATACTATTTCTCTCTGCTTCTACATCCCCATGCTAAAAATGAATTAACAGACACCTCTTAGCAGTGTAAATTCCATTATATAAGTAACCAGGTAATGGGTTCTTCATCATATTTTATTATCAAATTTTAATCTTGCCTTTCACTGCCTAATTAAGTTAGTACACTACACTTCGGTTTATATTATTAGTGTGTTAGTTACGTTTTCTCTCTCAGGATATTCAGTTCTAATGGTTCCCAGTTCCTTTAGCTTGCTGAATCCACTAGAATATATTGCAACTCTGTTTCAAGCCTTTGTATCAAATGAAGGATGCAGAGCAAATGCTACTGACTTTATTTCAGTGTGCTATTTCTCATAAAAGCATGCTAAGGATCATCTGCAGTACAGTTTAATATGCTGGCAAATATTCTATATCACATGCAAAAACAGAGAGAACATTACCAAATTCAGCACTAGTGAGGCCACATCTGGAGTGCTGTGTTCAGCTTTGGGCTTCTGAATACAAGAGCCATTTACAGACTGGACAGAGTCCAACAAAGGTCCACGAAGATGGTTAAGGGACTGAAGCATCTCTGCTATGAGCACAGGCTGAGAGCTGAGACTGATCAGCCTGGAGAAGAGAAGGCTCGGGGGAAATCTTAGTAATGAATACAGATATCTGAAGGGAAGTTGCAAAGAGGATGGAGCCAGGCTCTTTCCACTGGTGCCCAGTAAGAGTACAAGAGAAAACTGAAACTCAGTAGGCTCTTTCTGGACAGCAGGAAACACTTTTTTACTTTAAGGGCGACTGAGCATTGGCACAGGTGTTCTAGAAAGGTTGAGGATTCCCTATCCTTGGAGATATTCAGAATCCAGCTGTTTCTAGGTGGCCCCGCTTGAGCAGGGGTTTGAACCATATGACTTTCAGAGGTCTCTTTGGACCTCAACCACCCTGTAATTCTGTGCTTTATTACAGCTACACTCGATGATAACCTTAAGAAAACACGTGTCCTCTTCTCAACGTGATCTTTCCATGAAGCGAACATCAGAATGCTTCTCTTCCTGCTTACAGAAATATTATACCAGTTAAACTTTGCCAACACTGACATTCAAGTCACTTAGAATTGTATTAACCTTATTACAGATGGAAGGCTTAATATCTTAAAAATGTTCCAGGAAATACCTCACAATACTACTCAGCCAATGTGCCTTCATCTATAAGAAGGTGCTAATGCAATTCTATCGAATATAATAGAAATTCATCATTCCTATCAAAAGACACAGACAACAATCTGTGATATTTTGTGAAAACAATGACATTCCAGAAGGTAACTGTCTATCTCTGCCTAAAATGGTCCTATTCCACTGTAACCGAGGAGTATAAACAGAGGCTTAAAACCACATAATGGAATGAAAATTAGACTGTCATGTCCTTAAAAATTATATTACTGTGAACACTCAGATAGATGATAGCATGCATGCACTATAACTGACCCTTTCCGTGTGCACTCAGCATTTGAGATGTGGAGAACACATGCAGTGTTCAGTTTAGAAAAATTTTGATGTATCAGAAACCTAATTAAAATCCTGATTTACAAATTCCTTGAAGAATGAAAAGATATATTTTAAAAGACACAAACATACATTTAGACACCAACACCTACAATTAGGTGATTCAAAACAACTGTGGGGAAAAAATACACTCAGTACTTTATAATGTTTTTATTTATATCAACACATCATCAAGCAGTCAATCGTCTTTTATTTTATTTTATAAATTGGAAAATACTTGAAAAATTCAACAGCTTTGAAATTTCAGAACTGCCTTCAATGAATGGTTGTAGTACCTGATCTCTATTTTAGTAGGCTGCCAGTTATTGCTACACGTAATAGCATAATTCAGTGTCCAAGATAAATATCATTCACTCAGCTATTTCCTTGAGTGATTTCAGGGTATGAAATAAACCCCACTACATCACTGTCCTAATAATAAGATCACTCTGCTGGATAAACAAGCTTCTTGCAGGTTGTACCTGCTGATTGGACCTAGCACACAGAATATTCATCATTACTAAGATGGTCTTCCCCTTAATTTTTCAGTATCATATGTATCATTTTCAAGGCCAAATTCGATGCTGAAAAGGAGAAAAATATAAAGTCAATATCTCCTGAGTCCACTGCTATAGCCTGGTTTCATTCAAAAGCTTCAATTCAATTTATGGGTTTCAGGGTTAGAAAAGGTCTTTATGTTTCCAATACATTGGTAAAAATCTGATTTCTAGACATCCAAACAAATTAGGTGTGACAGTTGAAAATATCAAATTATCCCAAATTTATTACAGTTAATAATGTTTAATAAAATAAAAATTAATAGATTTATTTTTTTCCTGATTATCTGTGTTTGTAATTCTGTTCTTGACTTAATTTCATACAGAAAGGATTATACAATGTCACTGTGCCTTCTGTTTATTTGTCACCTACTTCAGAGGTTTTTAAAGGCCTTTGCAAACCTGACGAAGAAGCGATCTCATAAGTCACAATAAATTCTGAAAAGTGGGTATCTGAGGAAGAAAGCACCAGGTCTTGTTCCTAAAGCTGGGAACTTGTCAAGGAGGTCACTAGGGAATGCACAAATAAGATGGCAGTATGTAGGTAGAGAAAGCGAGCAAAGGATATTGTATCAGTAAGATTTTTCGGTAGAGTGGAGAATACGGGCATAATATATCCAGAAAAGAGGCTTTCCTTAACTGGCTCCTCATAAAACACTTTTCAAAATGTTTATTGAGTGATGTGTAAAACTCAAAATTACTTTCTTTAAAACAATTTTCACAGCAATATTTTACCATCAAATCGCAGCCTGTTCTTGATCCCCTCTCTTTACCCTGCTTGTTTCTTTCTGCTTTTTGCTCAGACTATCTAGCATTATGAAAAACAAACCAAACAAAATAATCAAATAATCTATCAAGAATTTATACTTTCTAACACGCTCATTACAGTGCCTGAGCCAATTAGCTCTGTGCAACATGACACATGGTATTCTACTGTGGATTCTAATTATGAAGACATGCAAAGATTGTCTATTTTTGGTTTGTGTATGCTTTCATTTGCTATAAAAATAAGCTCTAAGAAGAATGAAGAAGCAAAGCTTAGAAAGACGACATACTATGGAGATAAGAAAGAGAACATGGTCAGTTCTATTCTTAGACTTAGACTAATCTTGTGCTTTAATTTTTTTTTAGTACCAGTATAAAATTGGAAAAATGAAAAAATAGTTGATTTAATATTGGTACTTATATTATCGAAA